TGTTCGGAGTGGTGTCGAGGGAGCTGGGCGCGAATGCGCTCATTCTCGGCACGTAACGCTCCGAGGTCTGCTTCATTAGCGGTCCGCATCGCCGCAGGGTCGTTTTCGTGCTGGGTGCGCATGTTTTGAAGGTCGGCGTCGTGCTGTTGTCGCATCTACTCAACTTGGTCGATCAGCCGCCTTAGGGTTGCAGCGTCGCTGTCCATGTTGATTGAGTGGCTTGCATCGTCTGTCGCTCATCTGATATGGCTTCTAGTAGAAACCATATAGGTGGCCGATAAGAGTTGTCTTGATCAGCCCCACGGTGGGCGCCAAATGTTCTTACCGGAAATCTGCTATAGAGCTGGTCCGTCCAGTAAGATTGGTGAGTCTCTTTTGCCCGGTGTATTGGTGCTCCAAGATGGGGGAGGTACCTGCAAAAGAGACTCTGATGCCAAAGTTAGGGTTTGCATGAGTAATAGACTCATATATATAATGCACGTACCTTGAGGTGATCTAGGTTTGCCTTGGGCTTTTGGGCTTGAGATAAGATATATCATGATATGATATGATATAATTGAAGGGCGGATCTGGTCTGGGACGAGATCCTCGGAATCAGGTATGATTTGCTCAAATATCGGGCTGACGTCATGCACCGCGTGCCCGAGGTCACCTATTTGCATTACTAATCCGGGCTAGGAGCCCGGGTGCGAAATACGGTTAGTAATGTTCCTACCGTAAGTCTGCTGTCATCGTTAGGGTCACCGCATCCGAGGTATTGTCCGCTTTGGCGCTCGTTGGGCCGTCACGGTTTTGTCCTTGAAAAGGCGCCTCGGTGGGTTAAGGAGGAAGAGTGTTTATAAACTACCCTTAGCCTCGACTCTTAAGCGATGTGGGACTTTTAGGCATACTGGAACAAGGCCCCCAGTCGATGCTAAGGGGCGAGAGTGGCCTGGGCCCTCCTTCTAGCGCCAATGTTCCTACCGTAAGTCCGCTGTCATCGTTAGGGTCACCGCATCCGAGGTATTGTCCGCTTTGGCGCTCGTTGGGCCGTCACGGTTTTGTCCTCGAAAAGGCGCCTCGGTGGGTTAAGGAGGAAGAGTGTTTATAAACTACCCTTAGCCTCGACTCTTAAGCGATGTGGGACTTTTAGGCATACCGGAACAGTTTCATATAAGGATAAGCAGTAGATAAAAATTTTCAGTGTAAAATATTTGTTAAACAAAATTTGCATCTTCGTCTGAAAAGTAGTTTGTAAGAAGAATAGACAGTAGACGAAGTTTTTCAACATGATTTTTCAATTAAAAAGAATTTGCGTCTGAAATATAAATAAAATAGTGTAATAATTTTTATATTGGTTCGCTCAACTGAGCTACGTCCAGTCTCCTTCAACTAAAGGGTTCTACTAGATATCAGAATAAATAATTAACATTTGAGTATTATCGTCCACTCCTGGACCTGAGTATTATCATCCACTCCTGGACCTGAGTATTCTCGACCACTCCTGGCCCTTCGACTTCACTCATCAACGCTAGTATTTTTAAATCACTTCTAGTTCCCCAAGTATTCTCGACCACTCTTGGCCCGCCAACTTCACTCACCAACGCTAGTATTCTCTTATCAGCCACTTCTGGCTAGTAGTGAGTATTTTCGACTACCTCCTAGCCTGCTAGCTTCACTCCCTGGAACTAGTATTCTCTTATCAGCCACTTCTGGCTAGCAGTGAAGTATTCTTTCCCTAGCCTCTTCAGGCTTTACACATGATAGATTTGTGCTTTGGTTTGAGTGCATACATAACTCTCATAGAGAGGATTGGGAATTTTCTACACTCTCTAAGGTTTGCTACCTTAGTCTTACAGAGACTTGTGTTTGAGTGTTTGGGTTACTCTTATGGAGAGGATACATAGGTGTACAAAACTCACTAAGGTTTTGTTCATGAGTGACATTTCGAACACCTTAGTCTGTAGAGACAAAAATACAATGTTACATTGTACATATGACTATGAATGCTCATCTCTGATCTCTCTGTCTTGTGGGCTTGATATCACTCTTTTTCTTCTCATCAAAAGCCTGCCTTTCAAGGTCTGAGGTAGTGATATATATATAGTCTTGTAGAATCTGCCCGTTGCTTGATCTTGAATATATCCGTCGAAGCGGAGCTTCCCGTTGCAAGTGTTCGTTGAAGCAAATATATCATGACTAGTTCAATCTACTCATTTAATGCTTGAGTTCTTGCATTAAATGTTGCTTCTTGTGATAGACCTTGCGTGAAGTCTTCTTTGTCTTGTTAGCCGATCTGTTTGACTTTAGTAAAGACTTAGGAAACCTTTTGTCCTTTTCTGGTCTCGTAACTTGTAGAGTGTTGTCCTTTTCTGAAAAGGTGACGCACTTTTTCTGACACATGCATGCTTCCTATTTTGACTCATTTCTCTTTTCCTTATTTCTTTCCCTTAACGTTGAGAGCTTCTTGTATGATTGTGGACGATGTCTGAGTCTTTCTCTGAGATTTGATTCTATTCTTCATGATGATTTTTGTCTGCGTCTGATCATTTCATGTGCTTCTCACGTTTTAGATCTTTGTCTGACTTTCTCTGATTAGGTTAGTCAATGTGTAATTTAGAGTTTTGGACTTTGTTTGAGTATTGATGCATTGACTTCTCCATTAGTCTAGTCAACTCTGTAGATGGACTTTGTTTCCATCTAGAGTGTCTTTCATCTTACGTGTTATTGTCTTTCTTCTTATCTTCGTCTTATGCTTGGTCCATTCCTTCATGTTGTACTGGAGGTTATTCTTGACATACCTTCATCTGATATTGGACTCATAGTCGTTTGGTGCACACATTGTTCTTTGTCTTATTCAATTAGCTTGAATTGTATAGTTCTCATGACGTGGCTTGCCATAACTGTTTTTTTAGCTGAGTTGATCTTCTGGTTTCATCTGATGTTTGATCTTGTTTTTGGCTCTTCTTCTGATACTTCATATCCTTTTATATCTCATCTATTGTTTGTTGAATGTTTTTCGTTCGTGATCAGACCTAATTTGGATGCCTATTTAGCCATCATTTGATTCTCTTGTTCAGTTTGCACAAGCTTCGTGGACTCTTGCATTTAATGCATTTGATCCTGCATTAAACGTTTGCTTGCTGAATCTGCTTTCCACGAGATCTTTAGTGCCATTTATTTGCTTCTATATCTGGCTTTAAGATATCTCTATACTTTTCTGGTATTGTAGCTACAGAGGCATTGTCCTTTGCTGACTGGTAGGTGTACTTACTCTAATACATGCAGTTTTGATTCACTAGTACAAAAATGACTTTTAAAATTGAGGTTTTAAAATCGGTCATAAGGTAGCCGATTTTAAAAGTGTTGTGGTGACAATTTTGTAAATAATGGCATTACTTTTAAAGTCGGCTACCTTATGAACGATTTTAAAAGTCTCTGATGCTACTTTTAAAATCGACTCTTCAAGAGCCGATTTTAAAAGTGATACTTTTAAAATCGGCTATTTAACAACCGATTTTGTAAGTAATTTTTAAAATCAGTTCTTAAATAGCCGATTTTAAAAGTAGCATCAGAGACTTTTAAAATAGGCTATGATAGAGTGATATAACGGGTAACCAACCCGATCCCAAACCTTAATACAGTGCCAAAAAGAAGAGACTTATATTTTGAAAAATGATTGAGCCTCCGAATCTGTACCATTATGAATGAATAAAATAATATTTTAAATTATAAAATATTAAATTAAATAATTATTTTATAATAAATTTATTAAAATATATTAATATTTTAATTTTTCGGACCATGGTTGGGACAAAATTTCAGACGCCGTATCTTATATTTGATACGAGGGAGGAATTATATATCCGTAGACGGACTAAATCGCGCTCGTGTTCCATACGGACATGCAGCACGCAAGCCCCACGTCAAACTCTGCCGACACTCTCAACCAATAGCATTTCATTTTGCCTTGTCTGTATTAGCGGTTTAAAAAACAAATCCTACCAAACCCAACCAATTCATATATATTCGAATTAATTTATATAAAGAAATTTGATTTATTTTGAGAAAAATTAAAATTAATTGACTTTATAAAGTTAATTTAATTATTCAGTCTATTTTTATAAAATGAATCAATTTGATTCAATTTTTTAAAAAAAATATTCATATATAAATATAAAATAGATAATCATATCGGATCAAATCAAATTAATTTAAAAAAGTCCATTCATTTTATAAAACAGATGCCATTTAATTTGAATTTTAAAAAAATTTGATCGATGAATACTCCTCGCCATATATTTTGGTGCTTCAATTTGAAGAAACAAAAATAAATTTACGTTAAATTTGATAAACTAAAAATATATTTAAACCTTAATAATATATTTATAAAAATTAATTAAATATAAAAAATGTTGGTGAGGACAAATATCTCCATTATGATCCATGTAAATCCATAACTGAATTGATTTATAATCGAATTGATTTACATTAAAAAAAATTAATCTAATTTAAGAAAAAATTTGAATCAATCCATTCTTTAAAATCAGTTTGATTAATTATTCGATTTATTTTTATAAAGCAGATCAATTGGAATCGATTTTCTTAAAAAATATCAATCTATATACAAATATAAAATAAATAATCATATCACATTAAATAGCTTGAATTTAATAATATCAGTTCATATTTTAAAAAATTAAATTAATCTACTTTATAAAATATAGATAAATTAGGTTCAATTTAAATTTTTCAAAAATTATTCATTAATACACCTAATCAATTTTAAGAAAGAATTCGAATAAATCCACTTTATAAAATCAGTTTTATTATTCAATTCATTTTTAATAATGTTAATCAATTCGATTCAATTTTTTTAAAATATTAATTTATATATTAATATAAAATAGATAATCATACCGCACTCTCAATTGCTTCAATTTAGAAAACACAGATTAATATTTAAAAAATCGAACGGGTTGAATTTGAATTTTAAAAAAAATCGATGAACTCTCGTGGTCTATATATTCCGGTTCTTCATTTTCTGAACAACAAATCTTTCTGAATTCCTTTTCCTCAGACATGGCAGCCAAAACATGCACTAACGGCACACGCCCTGGCCCTCGCCCCGAGTACATTCCAGACCACATTCCGGACCCATCCTACCTTCGCATCCTAGACACGACTCTCCGCGACGGAGAGCAATCCCCCGGAGCCGCCATGACGGCCACCCAGAAGCTCCACCTCGCCCGGCAGCTGGCGAAGCTGGGCGTGGACGTCATTGACGCGGGCTTCCCTTCGGCGTCCCAGGAGGACTTCAACGCCGTGAAAATGATAGCTCAAGATGTTGGGAATAAGTGTGACGCTGATGGCTATGTTCCCGTCATCAACGCTCTGTGCAGGTGCAATGAGAGGGACATTGCGACGGCGTGGGAGGCTGTGAAGTACGCTAAGAGGCCTAGGCTTTTACCGTTCATAGCAACGAGTCCCATTCACATGGAGCATAAGCTCGGAAAGAGTAAAGAGGAGGTGCTTCAAATTGCTCGCGATATGGTCAAGTTTGCGCGGAGTTTGTGTTGTGACATCCAGTTCGGTGCTGAAGACGCAGCTAGGTTTTTAACTGTTTTTGTCCCCACGCACAAATATATATATATAGAGTTAATCACCACTAGTATAAAGTTTTTTTTACACCAACAACCAATCATATCTTCTAATAATATCATGTCAGTTATTTATTTAATGAAATAAAAATAAAATAAAATAATTTAAAGGATATGATTGGTTGCTAGTATAAAAAACTTTACACTGACATATATATTTACAGGTTTTGACTAATATATTTTCAAATGGAATATTTTTTTTAATTATATATTTTTATATATATAAGATTTGAATTAAGAATTTTATTTAAAAATATTAAATTTGGGATTTGCTCTAGATGTATTTATGAGAAAAAGCTTAATTATTTTGAATTGAAATAAAAACAATTTTTATTAAAATTAATTTTATTTAATATTCTTAATTAAAAAAGCATTCTTATAAATGAGAGTACTATTTACTATCAAGTGGTTAAAAATATTTTTAAAAATGTAATATATATTTTATGTAAAATTGTGAAAATTAAATGTATTTAATAATTTTTTTTAATTTATGTAAAATTGGTTTTATTTGTTTATAAATAGGTCCACAGGAATAACAATCGGATGAATGACTTTTTAATTTTTTGTCTACATATTTGACTTTGAATTAATTGATTAGAGATATTTTGTTCAACATTTTTTTGCTAATAATTTTTATTATTAGTTGAAAATCACAAAATTTACTAGGTTCTACCACTTAATAAACAGATATTTATTAATACAAAATTCACAAAATTTGAGATTTTCATAAGATTTTTGTTAATAATAAAAAAAATTAAATATATTTTTAATCCCTATGAAATTGATGTTTTTGGTTTTAATCCCTCTAGAATTTTATTTTTGTCTTTTATCCTTCTAAAATTTATAAATATTGTTTTTGATCTTTGTAAAATGAGTAAAATTGATTTTGATCTTTATAAAATATTTTTCTTTAATTTTTATTGCTCTAAAATATAAACTAACTATTTTTAGTCCCTAATAATCATTTTAAAGTAGATAAATAATATATATTTTAAGAACCTATAATATTTTAGAGGTATTAAATATCGATATAATATTACTAATGATTGTAGATAATACTTAAGATGATTATTTAATCTTTTAATAAATAAAAAATAGTTAAAATGATCACATAAAAATAGAGATTAAAAACAATAACTTTAATTTTATAAGGATGAAAAATAAAGAAATTTTTTTAAAAAGACTAAAATCAGAATTTATTAATTTTATAAAGACTAAAAACATATCTAAATTTAAAAAAAAAATGTTTAAAACATTGTGTTAAAGAGAAAGTCAATAGTGTTTTTATTAATAATTTTTTATTTTGAGTATAAGTGAACCCGAATCCGGTATGTTACTGAGATTAATAATTAACAATTGAACTAAAATATAATAGTTGGATCAATTAAATGTGAATTTAATAAAAAAAATTATTAAAAGTTTCATTTCACTAATTTGACATCATAGTGTGAATAAATCACATACACACACAAATATAAAAGAAAAAATCTACTTATTTTAAGAGTAAATTTATTTACACTAACTCTAGTCAATAAATTATATTTTACATCAAATGTCAACTATCTAATCGTTGAATTAAAAATTCTTAAAGCATAGATTAAGTTTGTAAATTTTTTAAAATTTGAAATTTTTTTATTATTTAGTTATTTAATTAATTCAAATTAATGTATAAAAATAATTTTATAATTATCTGTTAATTTGAATTAATAAAATAGAGTACCAAATAGTTTTTAATTTTTTTTAAATTCACAAGCTTTATTTATGCATTAAAAACTTTCTATTTAACAATTGAATTATTAAAATTTAATGTAAAACAAAAGTTATTGAATGAAACAAGTTTATATATAGTCTTACTCTTCGAATAGGTATATCCCTCTTTTGTACACACATACACACCTAAACTTATTCTACTCAATGACTCATGTTTTACATCAAATGTTAATGATCTAACCTTTAAATTAAAAGTTCTTAAATTATAGATCAAGTCTACAATTTTTTTTTAAAAATTAAAAATATATTTCATTCTATAGATTCAAATCAACATAAAACATGAGTTACTAAGTAGAATGAGTTTATCAAAACTTACTCGTGAAGTTATAAATCTGTAAATTTTTAATTAGAAATTATTAAAAAATTATGAATTTAGAAATTAAAATGCTAGAAGAATATTAAATTTTATTAAAAAAATGAGACCTTCTCTCAATACAAAGATAATTTATAGGTTATTGTTAATTATTTGTATTTATATTATTAATAATAAAGACGATTCTATTATATCATGTACACATTTTTATAATAAGTAATTATCTGTCATATCTTAATTTTCATCTTTTTATTTAAATAAAATAGGTTGAAGTACGAAACGTTTTTTTTCATTATATTTATATCATTATATATAAAGAAAATACACCCTTCTATGATTGTACTTGGTTTCCAATTTTTTTTTTCTTATTGATTTGACCCTTCTTTATTTATTTATTTATCACCTGAAATTACTCTTCCAATTTGCTTAATTTATTTTCCTTTTCCCTCTTCTCTACTTAATAGTAAACATCTCACATTCTTTTGGGTAACTACCACTATATTATTTTGTTGTTTATTTTATTTTATTTTATTTTTTATCTCTTCACACTCTTTTAGCAATCATCCACTTCATCATTTCTCTTTAGATAAATAGTTAGCATAACTTTAATAAAAATCAGTTTTTTTTAACTAAATCAAAAAATAATTTTTACTGGTAAACATGTCATAAAAAATATTGAATAATCTAGTTATTTTATCAGTAGAAAAAATACTTTCTAATCTTAATTATACACATTTAATGGTTTATTTTCTTCGTAATATGTAAAAAAATAAAATTTAAAATATATTAAATGTTATTATTAAAAGGCATAATAGTGGTTTCGCTTAGTGTATCAAATGTTCTCAAGCCAGCTTTTATCAAGACTATTGTGTGATAAAATAATATATGAGATGTTTTTTGTTGTATGATCCTACATTCTTAGGAATTATATTTTTAGGAGTATTATTGTTTGTAATATTATTTTTGAGAATATTTAAAAATGTGTTTGATAGGATTTTAATATTTTTTTGGAATAGTTGAAAATTTAAATTAGTTAAAAAAAATAAAATAAAAAGAGTTGAATAAGTGGGTTAAAATATAATTTCTTACATTCTCATGAGAATTAATACAATTTTCATATCTTCCACTATATGAATAGAAATAAAGGAAATAATATCATAAGTACTTTCTTAAAAATTAATAATACCTAAAAATATTTTTCTAAAACTCCAAACAAACATGAAAATATATAATACTCTTAATAATCTTTTTAATCCGTAAATCAAACATAACTATATATGTCATCCAATTAACTGGACTCCTTTAATGTAGTGGATATTTTATACATTTTGTTGGTTGCAATGACAATGTTGATATAGTCATGAATTTAAAGTATTAATTTTGCATTCTTCAATCTCTTTATGTGACCAGATCGGACAGAGAGTTTCTTTACCAAATTTTAGAAGAAGTTATCAAAGCTGGGGCAACAACAGTGGGCATAGGAGACACTGTGGGCATGGCAATGCCTTTTGAATATGGAAAATTGATTGCTGATATAAAAGCCAATACCCCGGGAATTGAAAATGCTATTATTTCTGTTCACTGTCATAATGATCTTGGACATGCTACTGCAAACACAATAGAGGTATACACACACGACTCTACCAATGAATAATGTACGTAGTTAATAGCTCGAGATTGAAAATATTTGCTAGTTTTAATTGCTTTTAGGCTGCACGTGTTGGTGGTGCAAGGCAATTAGAAGTAACAATTAATGGGATTGGTGAAAGGGCTGGTAATGCTTCATTGGAAGAGGTTAGTATCAATCATATGGTATTATATACGTAGATGTTAACAAAACATAGTTATGCAATGTTTTATTCAATGTAAATTTTATTCATAGTAACTTGGTGAAAGATTTACAACTCTCCACTAGGATTCGAAAACCCATTCCAGATTGGACCTATTAATAAAATGATTATATTTCTTTTCTTATACCATATCAATGATGTCAAAAGATGCAACTATGTAACTTGATAATTATTAATTTGGAAATTACTGTTTTGTTCAGTTTTATAAAATTTAATCAATATCTTTTGTGCATTAATTATTTTTATTTTAATATGAAAATTTTCTAGATAATGGTAAATACTATTCATTTTCTCGAGTTCTTTGCGATTTTAACTTTGTCTTGTATATGAATATAATTTTTTAAACTTTGTTTTAACCCTTCACATTCATAACCAATAAAAAACAAGACAATAAATATATTAACAATGAGAAAAATTAAAAGAAAAACTGAAAAAAAAATAAGGATATATGTCTCATATAGTATTCAGGGTAATTTAAAAAAAAAAAACATAAGAAGACAAATTTAGTGTTAATAACTAAATTAATTAATTTTTTTTAATCCTTATAAATTATTACATCCTTTTCTTTTTAAGTGTTATTTAAGTTTTTTACACAAGATCTTGGAATGTAATAAATTTTCTTGTTTTCATAAAAGTGTTTCTAGATAATTATGTTATTGTTATAAACTATCCATCAGTTTTATTTAATATTTTGTCAAGAAACCTAAACCAAGTCACCTTTTTCAAGGTATCCCGTCTTTAATCACATATTTTTATATATAATATTAGAATTTTATATCTTATTTATAAAGATTAAATGTACGTAATAGCATTCATACTAACAACTTTGTAATTGGTCCATAAAAGACTTTTGAAACATCTTATTGTATCTTATTGCAAGATATGCACACAAATTATAAATGTATAAATTAATAAATAAAAAATAAAAATAGGTCTACTACAAAGTTTTCTAAAAAAAATTGCAATTAAAAAAAATAAAAAAAAAGTAGTTTAATTCTTGCAAAAAGAACTTGAGTATAATAATGCCAGAATAACATATTTAATTAATTTTCTCTTATATGAGAGGATGGTTTACAAATATTATAGTTTATTTTTATTTTTCATTAGTATGGTTTATAAATATTATAGTTTATTTTGATTTTTCATAATTATGGTTTATAAATATTATAGTTTATTTTTATTTTCCAAAAGTATCTTCTTTGGAAATAATCTTGTCTGAAGTTATAAATCCACATATAAATATCTTAAGACATCCAGAACATATATTGTAGTATTATATTTAACACAAACATACAAAGCTTAAACAATATGGATCTATTGACCTATATACAACATTTACACATGAGGCTACCGTGCCATGCAAAAGCTTTGAAACAACTTACATATCACAATTCCAATACTTGAAATCATATATACAATTCGTACACATCGGGGGTTCACAACATCATGTTGGAATTACGTGACTAGCATCATATGCACTCTATAAAAGTTTACAAAGAGCATGACAACTTTTTTCATTAAATACATTTCACATCGAGGAAAAGCATATCTAGTTTAGGATTTAGGGTATATATATATATTCAATGCGGAAAGATACCAAACTGTCCCACTAGAAGTCACACACACTCAACTAACTTCATGCGAAAATCATTAAAATCATACAACTTGAATTTATTGGGAGCTAGTTTTAAGGAATATACTACCTCTAAGGGGCCTAGACTCATTCATCTCTCTTCAATACTAGTAATATTCTGGTCTCAAACCAGAACATACATAGGGAAAGCCAGTTTTAGGCACTTTCGAAGTGTACCAAAAAAGGGAAAACAAATCAAGCAATGAACTAATTAAGCATTATATACCTTCTAAAAGGGCACAACCATTCTTAATAATCAAATCTGACCAGTATATTGTCTAAAAGAATTAGTCCCCCAAAAATACTTATAACTAGAAATCCCCAAATATTATGGGACCACATAGGTTTGAATGAGGACACATAACAAGACTTGAAGAAGGTATGGAGGTTCCATAGGGTTAGCCCACACGAGTCACTGGGAAAGGAGTACATATGGTTTTCAACTTATATATTTATTTTCAAAAAGTTTGGTCATTAACGCAAAATGTCATTAAAACCCGTTTAACTTTCATTGTAGAAACCTGTTTTCCACCAATAAAATTACCAAAATTCAGCAGAATTCAAAATAATATTGGACTAGTTGAATTTCAAAGATAATTCAAAAGGACTATAATGCATCAAAAGATTTTATTCATGCTTCAGTAGACACTCCTTTTCTAGAGTCAAAAACTACGATGTTACAATTTGTTATCTCTTTTATCATTTGATATATCTTCTTTAAAAAGAAAAATACTACCTTCGGTAAACAACAAAGCCCAAACCATCGAGATAAAAAAAGTAATTAAATTAATTGTTTTAAAATATTTTTTATATTTATTTCAAAGATACTTTTTTATTTTAAGTAATTGTTACATTTAATGTTAATTATAAATGAATATATAGGAAATAAAATTATTAATTAATTAAGGGTATATATAAAAAGAAATTATCTTTGAATAACTTTAAAAATTAATAATTATTGTTTATAATTAAGAAAAAAATTAATTTATTACTTATATAATTAGAATCGGAGAATTTTTTTTCATGTATGCTATATATATACACGTGCTATACTTGCTCTATATTTGCAAACATATCTCTTGTATTTTTTTTTTATATTATTAAATTATTATCATCTCCCTTAATATACTATAACTCAATTTATATTTTTTTTTATTCAAGGTTGTGATGGCCCTAAAATGCAGGGGAGCTCATGTCTTAGGTGGTTTGTATACTGGAATTAATACGAGGCACATATTAAAGACAAGCAAGATGGTTCAATATATTTTCAAACTATTCTATTATTTCCCTCCTTTTAAGTTATATTTTAATCAATTAAAAATTTATAATCTTTATCAACAGGTCGAAGAGTACTCTGCCATGTACTTACAACCACACAAAGCTATTGTAGGTGCTAATGCCTTTGTCCATGAAAGTGGCATTCATCAGGTCGGTGGAGTTAAAGATTTGCATGTATAGTAATATAATACTGTATAAACCATGCATTTATCATTATATTCCTGTATTGAGGTTATAACTTTCATGTTCTGAATTTTCATTTAGCATCAAACATTTTACATCTATAATTTTTAATTCCTCAACAGGTTTTATAATGACATAATTTTTAAAAAAATTATTTATAGTCTCAAAATATATACTATTTACATATATTATAAAAACAACTATACATTTCATATTCATAATAAAGCAACAAAACAAAGTGATTAGAAAACCTATCTTAAACTTCCATCATCCTCTAGATGGCAATAACAGCTCCAAGATATATACCCATCTAACATCTTACAATAACTAAACTTGACTTGCTATCATGTTATAACATGATCGTTGTAGTCAATACCACAAACAGTCATAAACTTGATACACAACTACATAAGATATAACAATATGGAAGTGCATATAAAAGAGTCATAACATACACCTATGAGCCTTAAACTACACAAACACCACCATACAATTCCACCATAGGGACCCATGCACAACCACAACACGACCCATCATCGTATATCACATCTTCCACATTATATATCAATGTGCCTATTTGCACCAAGCATCTTCATACACTCACATTGGACATCTCCTATACGAGTAGTCTACTCAAATCATCCTTACCGGACAATAACTACCTTAGTTACTCAAATATAATCGCTACAAGAAAAATGTAAATTATCAACGAATATTTTTCGACGGATACAAATCCGTTGGAAAATTTATATTTCCGAAGGAAAAAATAATCATAGGAAAAGTATATTACCGACGGATAATTTCTGACAAATACAAATTTGTCGAAAAATTTATATTTTCGACGGATACAAATTTGTTAGAAAATTTATATTTTCGACAGATACAAATCTGTCGAAAAATTTATATTTCCAACAGATACAAATTTGTCAAAAAATTTATATTTCCAACGGATATATCCGTCGGTAATTTCCGACAGATATATCCGTCGGTAATTTCTGACAAATATAAATCTGTCAGAAAATTTATATTTTCAATAAAAAAAATTCGTAAGAAAAGTTATATTACTCATGAAATATTTCTGACAAATTTATATTTATCGAAAATGTAATAATTTTTGACGAAAATTGACAATCATATATTAAAAAAGATCATCAATAAAACTTTAAATATATATATATATATATATAGAGAGAGAGAGAGAGAGGAGAAGAGGAGGAGGAATCAAATGATTGTAATAAATAATTTAAAGTGTATCATAATATTAATTTTAAATAAAAATAAGTAGATTGTTAATTATAAAAGTAAGTATATATATAAATAAAGATTAATTAAATATAATATAATTATTAT